TGGAATTGCTAATTTCGCAACATTGCTGCTGAATTCTGACACAATGAGCTAGATCGCAAAGGGATAACATATCGCTGCATGGAGACTGATACAATATATAGAATAATTCACACATTGTCACATGGAGACTGACACTATATGTTTGAGTATAAAGGAAGTTGTTTTGAGTGATCCATATCTTAGTTAACTAAAACTGAGATGAGAACGGATTTTGCTGGTTATTTGTTTCTAACCGAGGTAGGAATTTATTGGAGGGCCCTAAGATACCGATTTTGTTTGTAGTGGGTTTCGAGAAATGCTATATGAGATGTATGATGTGTAATGATTGATTGATGTATGTGATGTGATGATTGATTGATGTATGTTATGAATGACTTGGATAATGTGTGAATGGATGTTGGATTTTGAAATGCAAATGTATAATTGGGCCTTTTGAGGTATGCTCGACTCATGCTGTCGGATTTCGTCATATGGATGAGATGATAAGTATAGCCTGGTTTTGGATCGAAGAGCCCTAATGTATGATTTATGCAGCCTTATGCTTTATAATTATAACTTGAATGCTTTTTTGAATAGTGCCCCCCATGATGGGTCATGGATGATTAGAGCGTAGAGGTTTGGTTATGCAACAATGTTGCCTGTCACATGATGGTATAGTATTGTGCTTGCATGATTCCCTGATACTCGATTTGAATTTGAAGATTGCTGATGTAGAAGAAAGACCCACTGGAGGTTGTGAAAGTGTGCATAGAGCTTGCCCCTGTGTGGACTGTTTCTTTTTTAATTTGTGGGTAGGGTCTTGGAGGAGATTCTCTTTAATATGAGCTTGGAAACAGTTTGATCATAATATGGATGACCCCACTATTTTGTATTATACCCCTGATTAACATATTCTTGAAAATGCTTGGCTTTGATATAACCATTTTGAATCAACTCCTTTTGATTCAAATTTTGAAAAGATGTGCCCCCTCAATCTCCAGGATATGGAGGAAATACTCTTAGAAAGAGATTTAGAGTTCACCATAAACTCAACATAGGTTGCCCCAAATATTCGAAGCTTGAAAATATTTATACTCGAAGTTACTTGAAGAATTCAGACCCTACGCGCAGTAGGATGAACCTGGTATGTACTGCCCCAATATTTGAATCTTAGAAGTTTGTCCCTGCTTCCAGGCCTTGGGAGGTTTATTAAAATGAGGAAACCGAGTCATATCTTGTCGTTGCGTGAATGCTTCTTCGAAAGGTATGCCCCTTGTTGGATGGTGCTTTAAAATTTGATCCAAGTTGATTGAACCTCAGAATGATTACCCCTTGTCAATAGTATGCGATATACCCTACGATTATTAGTATTTGCCCTCATATATAGGGATCCCCTTAGATGCTTTGCCCCTAGTTAGAAGCTTCCTGGAAAGGATGATTTCTGATCAAACCAAATTTGATATCTCCTTGATGCTAAGTATTGATTCATAGACAAAATTGTACATTTTGAAAAAGTAATTCCGTTTGATGCACATGCAAGTTCTTGAAATCAAAATTGATTATTTGAAAAAATGGAAGGTTAGAAGATGAATATTCAAAGAAGCAAAGTAGTTAAAAATAATTTTAACAAACATAGGAGCCAGTTTAACACAAATCTTATTGAGTATGCTTTCATAGTGAACCTAGCCTCAATTAGGATGTTTAAAGATTGTAACATGGCCATGGTTCATGGTTTAAGAAACAAAAGATATAAGGCTCAAAATTTATTTATCCCGCCCCAATCTCCATGATGTTCTTCAATCCTAAGTCTAATTAATCCAACAGATGCATTTAATCCTCAAGAGAAAGTTCGTAGTCACACAGATGATGAGAAGCGTAGATAAAGACCCAAGCGCCAATGAAAAGCATTGACAAGATCTAAGTGCTAATAAGATTCAAACACTGATGAAAAAGCTTTGATAAGATCCAAACATTGATAAGATCCAAGTGTTGATAAGATCCAAGCGTTGATGAGAAGCCTTAATGATTATTGAGGTGGCAGTCACAAGATTGTTTTCCAATTTATTATTTTCAATCCCTTATTTTTGCATGGATCGATTTTGTTTTAGTTTTTTGAATTTTTTTCAATCCATTGGGATGCCCTAACTTTTACCTCAATCAATTTTTTATTTATGTTGACTTAGCGAGCTTTCACTTTTTTTTTGAATTTTTTTTTGTTTTGATTTTGAAAATTTGTGATTGCCTATGCTTATATTGTAAGCTTCATATTTATTGTTCTCTTGATCTTGAATGACGCACTGAGGAAGAAGGTGTTGTGAAATTTGTCTTTGTTGATTCCTCAATCTTGGATGATGTGCACGAGGAAGATGATGTGCTTGAACCTTTGCTTAGATAATTTCCTCAATGATGTATCGAGGAAGGAGATATGCTTAAACCTTTGCTTGGATGGACTTGATTCTCTTGAGAATAGAATGCACCATTGAATTAATTGAAGTCTACCCTGCCCCTGGTTAAGATTAAGGTTTTTTTAGAGAATAGAAAGAACTCTGACTTCTGGCTCAAGGAGGTTAACTACGGATTAACTCCTTATATCTCCATTGTTTAAGAAGTGAAACAATGCCTTACATCGTTAGCTAAGCCTTACTATTAAAAAGCATACGTCAGCAAAATTCAATTATTTTGTATTTTCATCATTCTCCATCGAAGTTTGTTGAAGTGAAAAATGGAAAAAGAAGAGAAGAATAGAAATTCGTTGATTACTTGTGGAATGAATCGATTTCAAAAACATGCATGCTTATTTTATTCGAATTACTTGACCAAAGAGTACAAAGTTTATGACAAATAACACTTAGCAAGAAAGAAATTACAATTTGAAATGATTAAAGCCTAATGATCTATAGATAAGCCTTCTCGTTGATCCACTGGATTTAGGAGATGCTTCGTGGTTTTTGGACTTGTCAGATCATGGGGATGACCATTGACTTTTCTTTGACATACTTATTTCATTGATAGGACAATTGCTCTTGATGTAGCGGAATAATCAATGTTAGGGGCATTTGAGGCGCTGTGTAAGCTTGTAGTTTGTCATGGTGAAGGGCGGCCTTCTCTCTCCAATAATACTTGTAGGACCAATCTCCATTGAGTCTCTAGTATATAATCTCCTTCTCCCACAGTTCAAATTTTCTTAAGTTCGTTTGCGAGTACCGAGAAATCAGCTAGCAAACGTATGAATGTATGTAAATACATGGGTATGAAAAAATATTTTTGGCTTTAAGGGTATGCTAAAAATTTCATGGAGATGCAATGCAACGTGGACGTAATATGAAGGTAAACATGAGGGTACCCTATACAAGTTTAATGATGGAAATGATAATATCCTACACTATCTCAAAGATCGAGATAAGAAGGGACTCTTTAAGGATAAAGGTGATAATAGACATAGATTTAATGATGTCCTAAATTATCTCAGAGATTGAGACATGCAGGAATTTTTTTAGGATTATGGCCTAATGAAAGACAACGAGGAGTCCCTACAGGATATGAATGATGATAAAGACGGAAGCCCTACGGGCTAGAGATAGTAGTGAATAAAGGGATAACTCTTGCGGGTTTGCAGATTGTAGTGGGATTTGTGAAAGGTATCCTTATAAGGTAGGTTCTTAGTATTGGCCTATGGATATTCTACCCTCATCATAAGGTGGCTTCCTTAAGGGTATCATGAATGACACTAGAGGGAAAGGCACAAAGGCCTCCCTTAAGTGGAGTCTCTTTACAGACCGAAACTTTCGTCTCTAGGTCATGAAAGGTCTCATCACGAGATTTTGATTTAAAGGTCGTACAAAGAGTCATAGATATCATTCTAAAGTCCTACTTCCCAAGAGGATGTCTCTCGAGAGGTATTCCTTTTGCAGAATTCCACCGACTCTAGGCAAAGTCGTCACATAAACTCATAGGGTTGATGTAACCCTTTGCCTAATAGACGAACCTTCTTTCTAAGGGTTTTGAGAATAATATTGCAAAAAATTTAAATCCCATCACAGATATATAAATAATATGAATAATAAAGAAATAGGTAAGAAAATAAGTAAATAATTAAATAAGAAAAGATAAAACCCAAAAGAAATAAGAAAAACCCTAAAAACCCTAAAATCAAAAGATAAGGCTTCTAAACCTAGGATTGATTCTCCAGCAGAGTCGCCAACAGTTGCAACTGATTTTTAAATTGGAGTCGCCACCCTTAATTTTTATCTTAAAGGAATGAAGTATAAAGGAATAACCCTAAAAGTCAGAGATTCTAGATTTGGACTCGGTTCTAGACGAGGGAAAGATGTTAGGCACTCTTATCTACCTTGTTTATAAGGATAATAGGTTTAGAAGTGCGATTAGATTTGGACTCGGTTCTAGACGAGGGGAAGGTGTTAGGCACTCTTATCTACCTTGTTTATAAGGATAATAAGTTTAGAAGCGCGATCTTAGAAAATAAGATTTTTAATTATTATTGGGGAAAAATGGTTTGAATTTTATTTAGAAGAGAACATGAGTAGAAAGAATACCAATATACCAAAGCCTATAAAGATATGTAACTTCTAAATATTATACAAATAATATCAAAATAAAAAAAGGTAGGAAGAACATTACATACCCGGCTGGGGCGGCACCTCCTATTATGATATCAGTATATTTGAATTTTCCACACTATCAATAAGTGCAAGGCTAGGTAAAATAAACATATACTCTTACTCTTTCCAATTCCCACGATCTCTCACACATCCATTCCATTTTTCTCAAAAATAATAATATCATAGTTTCTCTTCATCCTAAAACCAAGGTTATATTTTCAAGGAATACAAGAAAACAGGAAAAAAAACTAATACCTTTATACACTACTCAACCAGAAACAGATTATAGGAGTGCGGTGCGTCGATCTGCGATGTTGTGGTGTTGTTGTAAGCACGGAGCAGTGACAGAGACTGCAACTTCGATGGAGGTTCGTTGTTGGCGTTGAAAATTGGATCTACGGCATGGATGAAAGTGTCTTGGCTCTGCGGGCTATGACGGAGCAACGACTTCGGTGCCAGAATCGCTCGGGTCTACTGCGGCTCGTTGTGAAGTCGTGCGGAGTCGCGGTCTTCGGATCTGGTGGATCGGAGAGGAGAGGCCAGTTCGGGTGCGGTGGTCGCGGCGGTTCGTGGCTGTTATTGTTGGATTGTACGGTGTTGCTCGGGAAGTTCCATACTTGGCGGTTGCACAATGAACAAATCCGCAGTGTTTGTGGGTTAACATTATCGGTAGCGATGAACAAGCTTGTTTTCTTCTGTAAAATTTTCTGTTTCTGTTCTTTACAGTAGCTTCTCCTTCTTTTTTTTTCCTTTTCCTTCTGAAATTCTTTAGGCTTTATAGTAGCTTTGGAGACAAAGACTAGTAAATAAAATTAAGTCTTTTGAATGCAATTTCCTTTTCAGTCTTTGCTATTTAGGAAATAGAATTCGCTGTTCCTTGATTTTCTGATTCAGACATTGAATGTATTGATTCATGTTTGTTTCTATATTTAGCAAGACTTTAATTCCGCATGCAAAGTTTCGGTTTTGTGTTTCGGAACAGACCAAAAGCGTGGAAAAATGGATTTTTTGTTTAACCAAAACAGATGAAAAAATAAGGTAGATTAGTAGTAGTGTTAGGATGTGGGTAATGGTTTACTGCATACAAAGATGAAACTGACCAAATGTGATCAAGTGAGGGAGATAGTGTAAAGTTGTTTGTAATATACCGTAGAGGTGTATTTTGGAATTGGCCCCTCTCAATATAAAATTTGGATAACAAAATAATAGGTAAAATAAAAAAAAGTAATAATTAAATAATTAACTAAAATTAACCAAATTTAATTTGATTTCAATTTTTTTAATCAATTATATTGATTTCTTCTTAAAAATAAAAACTATCCTAAAACTACAATATTTTTAAAATCTTTTTAAATGTTTTTTATTTTATAATTTTTTGGTTATTTTTAGAATAAAAATTGAAAAATGTAAAAAAAAAACTATTTTTTTGAAATTTCATTAATTATAAAAACATGAAATAATAAATAAAAAACGAAAATTAATATTAAATGATTAAAAAAAATCAATTTCGATTTTTTGTGATTTTTTTAATAAAGAAATAAAAGAAAACTTAAAGTTAGTAAAAAATAAAAATGTTTAGAATGTCAAAGATGAGATTCGAACCCGCGACCTTATACTCACAAGTTTCATTTCTTACCAATTATGCTATGTTACTGTGATACGGTGGGAGAACTAACTTGGGTGTTGTGATACGGTGGGCGAACTGACTTGAGATTTCGCGTTTGTGTTTGCAAATGTTTCGGTTTAGCAAGAGTCGCCACTGACTTTTTATTTTATCTTAAGGAAAGGTCAAAAAGCACAGGAAAGACCTTTGAGATGTTTTCTTGGGTTCGGGGAGTAGATTATGAAAAGGGAAGGTATTAACACCCTTTTCATCCATGGTTTTCCATGGGCTCTTAGTTACTTGTTTAGATCACTTGCTTTGCTTTTCCATTGTTTGAAATGGTGCTTTTCAATTGTTTGAAATGGTGCTTTGTGTGTGATTTTGAAAGATATTTTGAAAAGAGGCCATCGTTGTGGCAACCTTTGTAATGATTCTTGTTTGAATGTATACAAAGGTGTTTTTGTTTTTGTCTTTTGAAAAGTTTTCAATGTTTGAAAGTTTGTTTTTAAAATTGTGTTGTGAAGTGTGTTTGAAAATAGCAAGGATGTTTTTGCAAGCTTTTTGATCAAGTAACTAAGAGTTGTCTACCCTATTTTACTCAAAGATCTTTCTTATGTTTTTAACCCTTTTAACAGTGTTATTTCACCATTGCATTTGGTGAACAACCTTGTGTTAGGATGTTAAACGGGACAGGCGCAGGTCATCGTATAGACCATGATAGCAATTGTGTCAAGTATCTTTGGCAATTTTCTTGAGGGACTTAATCATTTTGTTTAGACAACCCAGATAGCGTCATCGATGGACTATGATCTTTTGTTTTGTTTTTGTTTTGCCAAAGTACTCAACATGCATACCATGGCCCATTTTTGAAGGCAACAAGTGGATTGTAACCCTAGGGGTGCAAGTGTGCATTATGTTTGTTTTTCATGCATTTTTGTCTTTGACTAGGTCAAACTATTTGTTAATTTGATTTTGGCATTCAAACCCTAATTCTCTAATCATGGCATAATTGAAAGCGTAAAAGTGCGAGAATTTAAATTCTAAGCTATTACAACATGATTATGGGGATTGGGGTACAATTTTTGAATAGGGGGGTATTTGACAAGAAATATAAACCCTAGTTACTATTACATCCAAATTGAATTTATAATGCATAAATATTTAAATGTACAATATTTAAATAAACAAAATAAATAAATATTAAGTAAAATGTATTATGCAAAAAGAAGTTTTCATTTGTTTATGTATGTAAAGTATTTTCAATGTGAAAAAAAAAGTATAAAGAAATAAAATAAAAAGATTAATTTTATTGTTTAAGGGATGAAACCCTAATTTATTTTAGGAAAGTAAATATTATATATTATTTATATACAAGAAATATATTAATATGTATAAAAATAAAATATATTGAAAAAAAGTGTTTTTTAGCATTAATAATAATAAAAATAAAAATGTAATATTTTTGTATTTTTTCTAAGTATTTAATAAAATAAAAGTATATATATATATATATATATATATATATATATATATATATATATATATATATATATATATATATATATATATATATATATATATATATATATATATATATATAATATATATATATATATATATATATATATATATATTATATATATTATATATATAATATATTATATATATATAATATATATAATATATATATATATATTATATATTTATATATATATATATATACTTTATATATATATATATATATATATAATATATATATATATATATATATATATATATATATATATAAAAGTATATATATATATATATATATATATATATATATATATATATATATATATATATATATATATATATATATATATACTTTTATATATATATATATATATATATATATATATATATATATTATATATATATATATATATATATATATATAATATATATATATAATAGTATATATATATATATATATATATTATATATATATATATATATATATATATATATATATATATATATATATATATATATATATATATATATATATATATATATATATATATATATATATATATATATATATATATAAAAGTATATATATATATATATATATATATATATATATATATATATATATATATATATATATATATATATATATATATATATATATATATATACTTTTATATATATATATATATATATATATATATTTTTATTAAATATGTATAAAATAAAATAAAATATTTACAAAATAAATTATACTTTTAATAATATTTTCATTATGAACAAAAATAGGAAATACAAATAAAAGTATATATTTACATATTATTTCCAAGTTTTTAAATAAATTATAAAAGTATTTAAAAGCCTTTAATATTAGAAAAATCAAAGTAAAATACCAAATAAATATAAAAAATTATGAAAATACTTTTAAAAGCATTTTTTATGTTTGGAAATAAAATAATAAAGTCAGAAAAGAAAACAAAAATTCAAAAATGTCAAAATACAAGAAAATGGGCCAGGGGGTGCAAAAAGAAAAGAGGGGGAGGGTGCAAAAAGAACAAAGCCCAAGCGCCAGGCCCAACTAGCTTCGTCCCTGTCCTCTGAACACGCGCGCGCGCCTCTGCAAACATAAATTCTGTTCTCTCTTGTTCTTGCATGAAATCAAAAACTCAAAACATGAAACTTGTAGAGCATTAAACCACAATTCTAACCATATAAAAAACTTAATCTAACTCTCAAAGACCAGAGAGAATTTCATTGGCCCTAAATCTTGACCTAGTTTTTTCAGAAAGTTCAAACATCAAATACTCCTAGCTCAGTTAACATAAATGAATTCTATGCATATGTACAACTCAAGGGCAATGAGGACTACATTTTTATTCACAAACCTAAGCCTAATGATTCCTAAATAGAGAGATAGAAGTTTGAGAAATACCTGTTTCAGTCAAGCTCGAGTATGGCAATGCAACAACTTTCAGTGAGGCCTTAGGTTCTTTTGAGCTTGCTTGATATTCCTTTGACCTTTCCCAATGCTTGGCTTACTTTGAAATGGTCTGAAACTTCTTGTAGAACTCAACCTGCAAACTCAGAATTTGAAAATGGTGAAGTGTATAAATGGAGTTACAGTGACTTGGGAATGGTTAAGATAGCTTAAGTATGTTGTATGGAGTGTGTTGGAAGAGGTTTGGGGCAAAACGCACGAGGCAATGTGAAGATGGAAGTGATTCTGCAGGGCCTGCCCTGTTTTGCAAGAAAATGTGATTTTTGGGTACAAGGGTGTTTGAGAGGTTGCTAGATCGTGTTTCTGGCTTAGTGTAATGTGAGAAACTTGTTTTGAATGTTGGCAAAGCTTGGCTATATCAGATTCAAGTGTTGTGTTGTTTTTGACAAGTTTCTTGGTTTTGAAGTAAGAAATGAGAGTTGACAATGCTATGGATGTACTGGCTTGTACTCTAGCTGCTCAAAGTGGTTAAACTTTTCTTGACATTAAGGAGCCTTGTTTGTAGCAAAGGGCTTGGTGTATGGCTCAAGAAATGCAATTTGACATAAAGCATGCTTTATGTAAATGGTATTGCTCACTTTTTGCCAAAAATGGATTTATTCACTATGCCAAGCTTTAATGATTAGAATAAGACCAATTTCCAATGTATTTGCATTTAATTATTGAGTATTAAAGGGTTTAGAGACCTGTAATCAAGTACAAAGCTAATTTGGACAGATTTTGCAACTTGTGTCAACATGAAAATGCCATGGATCAAATGAGTTTTTGCCAACTTCAAGCATTCGATTCTCCCTAACCACAAATGTATATGAGGATTTCTTTGACAATTTGGAAAGCTTGCAACATGCCCTATAATACATATTTGAAATGAAACTTGATACTCCAAGTGGAACTATGTGAAAAATGGCCAAGAAGATGGCTCAAAATCCTGCCTAAACTAGGGCAAAATTTCTCTAAGTTAAAAGTTTTAGGGACCCTTGTTCCAAAAATCATAACTTGAGATCCATGCTTCTTTTGAGAAAACTTTGTGAATCAAAGTTGTAGACTTTGTGTAGGACTACAACTTTCATGTTGTAAGTTTTGTTTGAATCCAATTGCATCATGGTGAAAATGTGG